GTGGTATATATACACAATGGAATTCTATGCCTCCATCAGAAAGAATGACACTGCCCCATTTGTTAGGCAATTGAAAGACTTGGAAAAAGTTATATCAAGTGAAGTAAGCCAGACCCAAAGAAATATAGGTCCCATGGTTTCCCTCATTTGCAATAATTAGTATACATCCAGGATAATTTTATCCAATGAGCAGAAAAGCTCAAAAGCTATGTACATATGACCATATAAGATGATGCTAAGTGAAATGAACCCCAAGATATGGACAGAAGAGGTCCTTCTTTGTTGTGGTGGATTTTAATGTACTATGTGATTTTTTTGTTTCCTTTGTATGTTCTTTCCCCTATGCTATATCCCCTGTTGTCACTGTACTTGATTCTGGTACCCTGAATCTTGTATGTACATTTGTCTAATTTGGGGAGGGGTAGGGGAAAAACAAAATGCTGAAACAAGGACATAGGATGACCCATTGCAACAATGATACCCACAAGACAGTATGTTGGAAATGAACTTTACAACTTCAGGATGGGGGGAGGGAATGGGAGGTGGGGGAGGGCAGGGATAGTGGAAGAACAACAAGGGAGGGAATAACAATGCTCAACAAGAAATGTAGTCATTGCCTTCCTCATGTAACTGTAACCCCTCTGTACAGAGCCTTTACCATAAAATAAAAAATAAAAAACAAAAAAACAATAAAGTCACTTAATAAGTAAAAAATAAAAATAAAGTTTCTACTTTAATTGCCTAAAATAACAACAAAATATTAGCTATTACTTGTATGAATTACTGTCTAAATCTAGACAGAACTTAATATTAAACTAATTGAAACTTATTAAACATCTTCTATAGATAAATATTGTTAGGAAAACAGAAACAAAATAGTATCTTGAATTCAAGAACTAAAGTCAAGTTAGGAACCAACAGGAACACAGAAAACTGTACCTTCTCAATGTTACTTTGAACCAAAAATTACTTAGAAAACTAAACATTTTTCTTTTAAATAATCTTAGATACCCTTATTTCCATATTCTCACTAATGTCTCCTGAATGATCCCTTTCATGACATCACAACTTGGTTGTGCATACTAACTGTATATCATAGTTTTGACCTCATCTAGATGTAATTAGATTTGCAAATATCACCAAAAACATTCCTTGACATGGAAAACAGATGTTCTCAAATCACACTCTTTGTGATACTTTTGTAAGAGATATTCAACACCTGCTTCTTTTTTCTGTGCCCAAGGAGTAACCAAAAGCAGAATCGCTTAGCATCTCGGACTCTATTTTGCATGTCTAGACCTTTTCCTTTTCAGTCACTTTCCAAACATATAGGAATCCAGGAAGAATAAGACTCAACAATAACATATTATGACTTAAGACTAAAATTGTCTCTAAGAAAAAATGGAGGTTCCCCAGTGCAGACCACTTACCAGACAACAATGGCATGTTCATTCTGACCAGGAGGAATGAGGGTGATTACTTCTCCCAAGTAATTACTCAGAAAAAAAGAACTGAAGTAATTGCCAACAAGGCATATGTTGACCAGTACTGTTTAATAATCACCCTATCTTCCTCCTCATAACCTCTGTTATTTGTTTCTCATGTCTATACCTGCAAAGATGACTGAAGAAAAACTATAGTGCTATTTTCATAGTCTTTTTATTTGACATATAGGGGCAAATAATTGAATCTGACTTGTGAAACTCTTGGAGTTTGGGTCTAACGCTGTAGTTTGAGTTTGATGTTCTTATCTGGTAGTCTTCTAATCTTACAAAACATTTTATTAAAGCCAGGTGGTGGTGGCTCTAGTCTGTAGTACTAGCTACTCAGGAGACTGAATCTAATGTTCATGGTTCAAAGCCAGCCTAGGCAGGAAAGTCTATGACATTCTTATCTCCAATTAACCTCCAGAAGGAGAAGTGGTGCTGTGGCTCAAAGTAGTAGAGTGCTAGCCTTGAGCAAAAACAGTTTAGGGACAGTGTCCAGACCCAGAGTTCAAGCCCCATGAAGATTGACAAACAAATAAAACAAAACAAGAAAAAAAGAAACCACTCATATGAAATACAAAGTCCTAGGTGTAATACAATAATATACAGAGATTGATTTCCTTATAAATTTCAAGTATGTATGTTATGAATATATTCTATACATTATGAAATATAAGTAGACATTAAAAGAAAATAAAATATAATAAATCATCAAGAGTACATTTTTTACAATGGCATTTACTAAAATATTTATAGTCATATTAAAATAATGAAAATAATGTATTTATTAGTGTGTTTATTGGTTCTGAACTTGAACTCAGGGTTTGGGTGCTGTCCCTAAGCAACTTTGCTCATAGCTAGCACTCTATTACTTGAGCCACAGCTCCATTTCCAGCTATTTTTTGTGTGTGATTAATTAGATATTAGACTCTAAAAGACTTTCCTTCCCTGATGGCTCCAAACCATGATCCTCAGAGCTCAGCTTCCTGAGTAGCTAGGATTACAGGCATGAATCACTGGAGCCCAGCTTTAAAAATTGCTTATTTTTAAAAAATTGTTTGAAAGTTTGATTTGGTATTATGGTTCTA